CCTTCAAACAGGGCATTCAGCCCCATGCAAAAAGCTACATTTTAATGACTTAAATTTCATACAACAATGTACTTTTAATAAAATATTCAGGGTACTTGATTTTAGCCTATCTGCAGGGGTAGCTCCCTAATTTCCACTCAGTAAAATAAATCTCTCCTCATTTATTTGTATAGGTACTGTCTCTGAAGGGAGAGCTCATGCAAGACCATGGAAAAGTGTAATCTGATTTGTGTTTTCCCCCAGTCCAGGTCGTCCTCCTGCGTTTACTTTGGATCACCTCAGTCTGCTTTACTGAGAGTCAATTTGTGCCATTTCTTCTTTCTCTTAGAATTACACCAGCTCATGTAAACTTGTACACAAGAGAAATCCACTGCCATCGCAGCCAAGACTCAATAATGTCTTAGAGCACCAGGTCCCAAGTTGTTTCTCATGAGAGCAGTTCATGCAGATTTGAGCAAACCTAAGACAAACTGGGAAGCAGTTCCACAACACCAGTTTTGAAGTAATTTTTCACAGCACCTGAAACTTCAGCTCACACCTCTTCACTCATCCTTTGTTCCTGTTGTCCCTGAAAAACATCTAGGAAATCAGTAACAGCTCTGTAGAAGCTTCCTGTTAGCTACAGGTCACTCCAACTCACTCACTTTTTCATATCCAATCATCTATAAATAATTAAAATGTAATGGCTCAATGTTCCATGGCTGCTCATGTGCCCATGCTGATGGGTAAAACCCAGGTACTGAGCTCCACATTTCATAGAGCCAAGTCTCTGCTTGCAGAAGGCACCTGGCTTCAGGAGGGGTTGGGTGGGCAGCACTGGGTGGGACTGCATCTACCAAGCTTCATAGTGCGGGGGAGCAGCATTAGCAAGTCATCTACACCACCTCAAAGCCAAGCTTAATTAATCCCAAATCCATATTCAGTTTTCAATTATCGGTCTAACAGTGCTGTTGTAAAGAAATTCTCAGACAAAAAAGAAATTTAAAAGCTGAGAATTAAATTTCAAAGCACTTGTACAGAAACGCAACACACAAAGAGCTGTCTTGGACTTTTCTGTGGTGAATTTCCTGAACCGAAGGGGCTGCACCAGTGGCCAAGCACACACCTCACCCAAAAAAAGTCCCCATAGAGTCTCTGCCAGAAGCGGCCTGAGGTTGATTTGTTGCCTTTTCAAAGGTGGGATGCTGGATGTGAACCCCCCACCAGCAGTTTGCTGTTTTGAAGCTGTACTTACAAAATACCTGAAGTGGCTGGCAGCCAAGCATACGCTGTAGGAAGGTATTTTCCCTTTCAAGGCAAATCTTTTGTCAGATCAGAGCAGTGAGGTTATGACCGGATGCTGAACTGGGGTAACCAAAGGGAAAAGACACAATGACGAGCTTTTGACTAATGCCAAAACAAGTCATACAATATTAAAGATGAGAAAAAGCTTTAAACTCACAGCCTTAAGTGGAAAATATTTTAAGCCTCACGTCTGCAAATCACTTTCTGTTTTAATATCATCCTACCCTAACCATTAATGCCCTTCCTAAACAGCATATATTCAGAAGACAAAATAATCTTAAAAAAGAACAACTACATGGGAAAGAAAGCGCTGTGAATGCCACACAGAGCCTTTAAAATGAAAACAAGCTAGGAAGAAGTTGCTTCCAAGAAAAACAAGGAGTATGCGGAGTAACAGGTTAGTCTGTGTTTTGAACAACGCGTGGGAGGAGGAAGCAGAGGGAAGATGGGGTATGTTACTGAAAACAAAGACAGCATATACTTCCCCCACATACTACTCCATGATGATAGGGAAAGGAGTGTAGCATGGACTCATTTTAGATAAAGTGGGGGACAAAAAGCCCGCCCCAAACCCCTGTGAACTTTCACCTGGTGCTTTCTTTTTAATTGCAGATTGCCTGGACTAAGTGCCAATTTGCTATAAACCTGAAGGGAAGGCTTCAGTGTGGGGTTTCCCAGAACAGACGAGGCTGGGAAGGGCCTCTGGAGGTCTCTGGTCCATCCACTGCTCAAAGCAGGGCTTCAACTTCAAACTCAGAGCCTTGTCCAGGTGACTTATTAAAATCTGCGAGGGCAGCAATTTTACAGTCCCTCTGGACCCCTGCTCCGAAGCTGTATCACCCCTATTAAGAACAACTTTCTTACACCTGCCTGGAGTTTCCCTCACTGCCTCCTGCCTGAGATGCCCGGCACTGCCTTCTCCATAACCCTGCTAGGTAACTGAAGACAGCAAAAAGGTCTTCTCCTCCTTCTTTCCCCTACACCAGGTTCCCCAGTCCCTGACCAATGTAGTGGCCCTTCGCTGGACCAGTACATCCCTGTCTCCCTTGCACTGGGGAGCCCAGAACTGGACCCAATGCTGCAGATGTGTCTCACCAGTGCTGAGCAGAGGGGAAGGATGACTTCCCTTGACCTGTTGGCAATGATCCTCCTAGTGCATCCCAGCACACAGTTAATTTTCATTTTAAAACTATAAACCCCACACCAGCAGGGCTGTAAAGGCAGGCAAGCATGGCAAGCCCATCTGATTTCAATGCACTCTCAGTTTCAGAACTGATAAAGCAACCTAAGACCCATTCACTTTTAACAGTTATCCCAAGCTGCTTGAGAAAACGGGATTTTAATCACATAGGCTGTGACAACTTTGAGTAGTGAAGCATTTATGCACCTTCAGAAATGTGAAGACACGTGCTGGTTTAGCTCTTCTCAGAGCTCTTCAGAGCAGCATCTGTGCAAAGGTCTGAGATATCTGGTCTGAGGGGTCTCTGAGAAGTCTCGCCACTCAGGAAATGCTGTTCAAGCCACAGAGCCTTTGTTTTGAGTGGGATGAAACCAATTATCTTAGTGTTTTGTTTTGTAGTACATAGGGTTATTCTTATTTGCAAAGTAGCAGACTGCAAAAGTTTTGCTCGTGAAAAACTACCATAATACAACAGAAATCCTAACACATACATTTCCTGAAGTCCTGAAAAGGTTTAGTTAAACAAAATTCAATAAAATGTAATTAAATACAGTAAACCCTAAGAGTGTAATTCATTACTGACCCCTGTTTAGCACTTTCTGAATAAAATCTACTTACTATTATTTAATGTGGTAGTGAAGGGTATGTATCTGCATTAGTCTCTCCGTAAAAGAGCTAAACAATGTGAAGTACGTGATAAGAAATGCTGTTTTGCAAAAAGCTGTAGAATGGGAAAAGTTCTCAATTTAAACACCAATTTTAATCATCATGCCCTTTCCAAGAGGCTGCCCCTCCTACCTTAAGAACAAAAGACCACTAACACCCAAGCCCAGCGCAATTCCTGCAACCCTCTCTGGAGCAGCAGGGTCATGGGTATCTTCTGTTAGCTCAAAAATAGCATGGCCCCATTCCAAGCCCGTTCCTGCGACAGTGATGTGACCTTATCAAAAGGATTTTGCTGACTACCAAAAGATTCCTTTATTTAATATTCTGTTGTACCTAGCTAGGACTTAAACAGTCCTGTTTGCTTGGATAACTTGATTAAAAAGTCACACAATGGCTTTGCTATGCAGTGTGTATTGCTGTTATTCATGCAGCAGCGAGCCCTTCTCTGTGTACTCAATCAGCAGCACATTGCCTATGCAATATTTAAACCTATGCGGACTAGAAAAAAGAACTTAAATGCACTTTAATTATTGTGAGGCTTGAAAAAGAGGGGAGCATAAAAAGCATATTTGAACTTTAAGCAGAGGAGAACAAATGTCCTTCAAGAGAAATGATGCTTGGAGTCTACCTGGAGTCCTTCAGAAACAGTGACTCTCCTACCTTCAGTCTCCTGATGGCGCCTTAGAGGACTGGAAAAGATGCCATTTCAATTAAGTTGCAGCAGAACTTCTGATAAACATAAAGAAAAATCCTATATGGGTTTGTATAACTGTGCTCTTGTGCACAAAAGTCACTATGAAACCACCCGTTCTGATTAAAACCAATGTTTTTAAAGGAAATTCTGATGAAGAAAAACAAGAAGGTTCCTCTATATTTAAAAGTCACGGAAAGCTATCAATACATTGCAGGAAACATAGAGTCAAATGTAGGTATATGCACCCCTAATTCTGTACCTATGTTGTCACAGAAGATTGAACAACAGTTTATCACTGAGTTATTTCTTCTGTTCACAGAAGGAAAACTTGCTGTGGTCTGACAATCCAGCACCCCCAGTGGTGAGATATTATTCCTTTCTTTCCCCTGTAATTCTGTCCCCTTCCCACAGCCACTAACCCCTTGGGTAGACCAGGTTGGGTTTGTAGACCAGCACTGGGAGCCTTTATTCAGCAAGAAAGAATTAAAATCGAAGCCTTTTCTCAATCCTGCTCATTTCTGAGTCCTAATGGTGTGTTAGCCCATGGGCTGCTGAAGAGGTAAACTTTGTGCCCAATATAAAGCAGGCAAGTGCTCTGAACCATGGAGGTCTACGACGCCTTTCATATTCTGGCAGAGGAGCTCAAATGCTCCCTTAACGGTCATTTGATTGGAAACACATATAATTTACTTCTGTCCAGTAAAGAGCTCTTCCCCTCTATAATAGGGCAAAGAAATATCAATTAAAAAACCAGCTGAAATTCTCTATGGAATGTACAGAAGCGAGCCTCCCTTAGCTCCCGCGATGACATCCTTTTGGTGCCCACGTCCACCACAAACCCCACGAACACCTCCAGCTGTTCTCAAGCCCTGGAACTGATATCCAACCAATCTTGGTGAAAACACCCAGAAAACTCCCACTAATGTGGATGCAGGATTCCTAAGCAAAGCTTTGAAGCGTGATTTCCCTTCTCAGCCCTGCATAGGTGTCTGTGGCTCTGCAGAGGTCATACCCTAATGGCCAGCATGTCAGAAACTCAAAACACATGGTCAGTGAAAGTGATAATGAACAATTAGCACATGCCTCATCTGCACTTACTTCACTACCGCAGGTAAAGAATGGGCCAAGCCCAGAGGTACCGTGTATCTTCCTGAAATAACATGAGCAATTTCTTACTTTTTCTTGATCTGGAGAAAAACTTGATGCCCCCAGGAGAGGTAGACGGGTTAGAATTGGGGGAGGACTCTTTGGAGGAGGACCTGAAGATCCCACTGAAGCTCATTCGGCGTGGGGAGCGTGGGGGAGACTCCTGGTAGGGGAAGGGGAACACTGTTTTGGGTGAGCCGGGGCTATGTTTGGATCTCACAGGGGCAGAAACGGGGCTGGAAGGTCGGTTCTGGAGCCCTTTTGAGAAAAGGCCTTTGGAAGGACTGCCAGCAGAGTAGCTTTCTTCCACCTAAGGAGGAGAGAAAAAGGAAGAAAAAAGAAAAATCACCATTAATTCAGTTCGGCTCAGGTCATCAGAATCTGAACTTGTCTCAACACAGTCAACTCCTGTTTATTCAGCTGGCAGATTAGCCAGACCTCACCTTCCCCAGAGCCTGCCTGCACTGACATGCAGATGCGTGTGTGCCACCTCTCTGGGATCCACACTGCCCCTTGCTCTTAAAGACACCCTGAATTTCACAAAAAAATTCAACATGTGTGCATACATTTTATTATCATACATATAATGCAGGATTTTCTTTACTACTTTTATTTGCCACACATCCCTCTTCCTTCCCTGGACAATGGAAGATGACTGGCAATTCATTTATTTAAGGCAATGAATGATCGCCATTAAGGAAACACAGCACCCCAAAGTCTTCCTCCCAAATTTAAGCACCCCTCTACAGTACTTAAATCTCCATTGCATGATGCAACACAGCACAGTGCACAAGTTCCCAAATGCCTGACAGGTCTCCATGGCACCAGCCACAGCCTTAACTGTGGGATTGCAACTCCAGTCCCAAAAATAGAGGAACCATTTTTGAGTGACGACGTTCCTGCTAATTACCCCATCCCCGAGCTTGGGTATGACCTTTCTAACAGCTCTATCTCTTTTGGGACCCGTGCTGGCTTTCCAGCTAGCATGAATATCTGTGCACACACAGCACTGCACTGTGCAGGCTTGCCCAGTGAGGGGGCATAAAAATCCAGAAAAACAAACAAACAAAAGGAGCAAAGATTAAGTTCTCCCCACATACAATTAACAGAAGCTGACTCAAAACCTCTGTGGGATTTGCCTGTGCCTGGGCTATATGTAGAGTTTATTTCCTTCTGGATGCACAAAGTGCTTCTGTGGGTATAAGGCTGCTTTTTTAGCTGGGGGCATTTCTCATGAATGAAGGGTTCTGTTCCTGGCAAAAGGCAGCAGTGGGTTTCAGGTCTCCAGGGAGCCTGTAAGCAAAGGCCACGGTGTATGTGCCCACGGGCACGATGTGCCGCTGAGTTTCAAGACCTCTGCATGCCTGCTCCTCCCTTCCTAATTACGCATCACAGACCAGGAGATATGGGGCAGACAGCAACTTCTACCTGCAAAGGTGCCACCCGATGTGTGTCAGTCTAGTTAGGTACAGGCGTTTGAAAGCCTCATACGTACGTATGCCCTCCTTTGGGTCAGTGAAAAGCTTGTGTATATGAATGCAGCTAAAAATGGTCAGCTGAATTTACAACACACATGCAATCAACTCCCTTTTCAAAATAATGTTTAGCCACAGCTCCAAAGCACTTATGGAAATATGTACGAGCAGCACGATGGCCAAATAGCTGCTCCCTCCGTAACACAGGATTCCACTTCTCGTACTCCTTTCTGTTTCCTGCATATGTACTTTGGACAAGCTCCTCTTTCCACTTGGGAATTGCATAAGAGCCTGCAGAGAGCATGGTCTCCGCTTTGGGAAGGTTTCTAACCTAACAGGCAAGTGGCACTTGGTCTGGGAGATGGACACAAATAGCGTGGGTCACCAGGAGGGGCACAGAGACATGCCACCATGGCACAGCCCTGGGCAGCTGATGAATTCTGCACCATGCTCCTTTGCACAACACAGAGATATCTGGCAGGACACAAATCCACTTTTTATATGTGCACACTTATATTTGATAGCATGGACAAAAATATCTCAAAAATATACTTGTCCTTTTGCAGAAGAATTTGAGGAGCAGTTGCCCTCAAGGGGAAATTTTTGGAAAGGATAAATCAATTCTAACTGAAGCACTGGATGCCAAACACTCTGACAGTATCCATCAGAGAAGAAAAAAATAGTGCCTCAAGCTTAATGCAGTGGCCTGAGCCTCAGGTTTGCCTACCAGCTCTGTCACAGATTGTGTGCAATCTTGAAAACTCATTTCATCTTACATGTCTATTCTGCTATGAGGACTGTTATCTCCTTTATTCCCACTCTAAGTCCTCTGGCACACAGACTGTCTCCAGGTGAGTATTTATCAAAAATAATAGGGCACAATCTCTTGACTGAGACATAGAATAATAACCACACTATCAGTAAATTAATAAACAAATAGCATTTTGTCATGGGTAAATAGTCCCAAAGTGGCAGCTTTTTCATAAAAGCTCATTAACTTTACTAAAATATTATCTGTAAATCACCTGAGACTACTTATATGTTGTTCTCTTCACAACTACATAATCCATGAAACAACCAAGTAGTGCAACGGCATCTCCCTTTGCATTGCAATTTAAAGAGGTCTGTTGTCAAATCTACTGCCTGCAAGTGGGGAGTAAGAATATTTTCCATTTCATTTTAATCATAATACAAATCTGTCACTACTACTGTAATTTAGGACTGTTTCCAGGATGGTAATTTCATTACCATTTTTCCTGAAGTGATAAGCCATGACATTTGTAAAGCTAGGTGAAGGACGTCATTCTGGTGCTATCCTTAATATTTCATGTTATCTTTTTTGCATGCTTGTTTGGTTATAATGACACACTGATAGGAGACACTCTGAAAAGACTACGGTATCCTCATGTGCTAAAGCGATTCTAGAAATGTAAAATGTCAAGCAACAATTTGTCAAATAGCATCAGTATTCCCTTGTCCACACAAGTCAGACACAAAAGCAAACTGTTCTCAAATTCTGAGCAAAAGCAGTGGGATATTTTTATTTATTGCAATCACAACCAGTTGTTTTCTCTCCATCGTGCCAGGCAGATGAATTAGTTAATTGTTGGAGCACCAGGGGCATGCTGCTAAATACAAATAGGCATGCTACTAAATTAAAGGAAATTGCTACATTGAATTCTTCCCCAGATGCTCCACACATTAATTATACACAGGTTACACCCACCATCAAAGCAGATAAATACCTGTGATTTTGCTTTGGGAATTACAAAAGGATTACTTTCTTAGAATATTATTTGAGGCTAATGGATTGCGAGTTTTAGAAGATGATTACGCATTTCTATGAGTAAAATCAGTAGCAACAACAGTTACCACAGCGTATATAAAAGTCCCAAGGCAATGTTAATTTTCATGCTCCAGCTGGGAGCGCAGAAGAATTTCTGCTGTGGGATAAACCCCACCATCCTATGCAGGCTCGGTGTGATGACCCCAGCAGTGGTGCTGGAGGCAGGTTACACAGTTAGATGGATCAACAGCCTGTTCTTCATGCTTTTTGGACTAATTTCCTGAAGGTATGACAGGTAGGTGGGCACAAAATTCCCACATGTGCTTTGGAAAGATAACTATTCCCCCAGCTGAGCTGCAGCAGCAAAAAAAGGTAGTGCATCCTGGTTTCTCACATTAATAATCTTTGTACATCAGTTTGTGTTAGTCTAGGAAAAGCAGTAAAGTGAGAATGGGCAGCAATATGAAACACACCTAATAAATGCACATGGTGATATGGCTCATTTCACCCTGGCTGGATAACTGGCCTTTTGGAAATAAGGAATCCAAACACACAAGCACAATACAAATCAATGCACAGATAAGGTCTGATCAAACAAACTGAAAAATTCCTCTAAGTATGAAGACTGTTTACCTAATTAAAAAAGGAAAAAAAAAAAACAAACCAACAACAAAACATTCCCTGTGTTGGCTTTGTGCCGAGCATGTACGGGATCTTTGAGCTCCGTGCCTAACCTTGGACTCCTTAAACCTTAGAACTGGTTACATTGGAAAGAAATGTCAGCTCCTGACTATATGTCTGCAGAGAAGGTGCAGTGGGAATAGGGCTCAATTAGTAGCTCAGTAATAGTGCCAGTGCAAACCCTGCCCTCAGCCTACTGCAGTGTCCTCCCTGGTGAGGTTAAGCAACCAAGCAGAGCCCCGTGCTACATCAGACGTCCTGTTTCTAGCGGCTGGCTCCGCTTGTTCAAGGCTAAACCAGTTACCTTGCTTAGCACTGAGCAAATATATCCTGAAATGCTGTAAGACACTATCAGTTTTCATGCTTCAGAGCACAAAAAGATCCTCAGCTGGGGACCAGGGAGAGACTTTGCTCTGTTGTATACACCAAATGATCTTAGGCAGGCTCCTTAAATACATCCAGAACTGGCTGCCATTGAAAATAAAGCAACAAAGCAAGATGTGTCTTACAGTGGTTGGCATCAAGCAGACTTACTTGCAATTTTTTGAATGAAATGTAAAGTGATATCTTGGCATTTGCCCCAGCTGGGCAGCTCTGACAACACAAGAAATAGCATCCTGAAAACTGCCCCTGCCATGTCACCTGGTTCCAGGAATCTTTCCCTCTTCCTTTCTCCTAGCTATGCACACTAATAGCTCAGAGCCATCCTGTCATGGACCAGCAGACCCACACCTTTATTTCCAACAAACTCCTACATGACAAACTCCCGACATAAACCACTACCAGTCCCAGACTACCCCATACCAGTGAGCAAAACAGCTGGACACAGGCTCAAACCATCGAGCAGTTGTCCTTATGTCTTCCCTGCTCATTCACCATCTGATGGGGATTTAGTCTGTGCCATAAGCACCCCCCAGGTGCCATCTGTGCTTTGGGGAGCACAAGCCATGGACAGTCCTGTGGCCACCCTGCTCTAGTAGGTGCAAGAGTTCAGCTGTGCAACAGGACTGTGCCCAACCCTTTCATCTCTGAGCCAAGAGAACGGTCCCTGACTTCTTATTTACTGATACTGTTGACATATCCCAAGTGAACAACCTTGTATCTTGTGCTGTTAAGAATTGTACATCCTGAAGGTCATCCAGGTCTTCTTGGATGAGGTCCTTTCCTATGACAAAACCCCCCTCACTCTCATCACCAACAGATTTGGTTAGTATGCTTCTATTTTTCATCTCAGCCTTACTAGCAAAGATCAGCCCAAGGACTGAGCTTGGGGAAACCCCACCAGTTCTGTGATCTTAAAGGTCTTTTCCAACCTAAACAATTCTATGATTCTATGATTCTGTCCCTCCACCCATCCATCTTCCTTTC